ATAGTTTTCAATTTAAAATACTAATACTAATTTTTCAATAAATTTCAACATTGGACGATCAAAGTATATCAGACGGTCATGGTAAAGTTACTCTGATAGAAATCATCATACATATCAAGGGGTAGAACTTTTTTTCAAGTATTTCCTTTAAAATGAAAGTTTTTGAAGGCATGATTGATATCCTTCATTGAATCATGGCAGATGAAATATTTTGAATCATGTGTCATTTTATGACAAAGACGTTCAACATTTGTGAGAAGTTAGCCTTTAAGAAGTAACCAAATAAAAGTTCAAACCTTTTGTGCCACAGGCAGCTTTCATATATTCTTTGAAATATACATCAATACCATGGAATCTAAATGCTTTATCTTTTTCCCCCCTTAGAGGAAAGGATTAGAATTTGGATTCTGACGATGGCACCAAAAATACTGAACACAATCAATTGTAGTGTTTTTTTTTTATAATTGCTTTATATTTTTATTAATAAAAAGCCATTTATATTAAATGTAGGTAATTCATAAAGGGATAGCATTTATCTATCTTTTACATGGATGCGAGTTTTTAGCTCACTTTTCATAGTTCAAGGAACTACTTAACCAAATATGTCCACGGAAAAATCAAAATCAACCAATATAGAAGTGGTATTGGATTGTTCACGATATATATCCCCAAGAACCATTGAAACTTATATTTTTCATATTGTTATAATAATCCTAAAAAAATTTAAAATTAGATTATCAAATTCAAAATTTTCAGAGTATCTTGTAAAAAATCATCATTTTTAAAAGATTATTTTTTTCATGGAAAAGATACATGAGAATCATTATTTTTTTAATGAAGTATAATAACAAATATAGTCAAGTTAAATGGCTTATTTTTTTATCTTTTACTTGTGTATATAAAAAAAAACAGAGTCACAGGGGCTGTTTGGTTTGTGTTCCTTTTTTTTTTTGTTTTTAAAAGTTATTTTGTAATATAAATTTTAAAATTTTTAAAAAAAACAAAACAAAATGAAAATTTGTTTGGTTATATTAATTTAAAAATAATATTATAATTATAAAATAGACTAATATTGATGGTTATAGATGTTAATGATGGTGATTTATGATACAAATTGGTCAAGATAATTGTAATTTTTAATAATTAAATACAGTATATTTTAAAAATGAGAAAATAAAATAAAAAATAACTTGAAATTGTTTCAATATTTTTTGAAAAAAGACAGTTTTCAAAAGATTGTTTCTTATGGAAAATATACATAAGAATCTTTATTTTTTTAGAAAAAATTAATCATTTAATTTCTATAATTTTAATCTAGTTGTAACTTAATTTCTAATATTTTACTCATTATAATTCAGTCTCTAAAGTTTTGACTCGATTGTAAATCAATGACTAAAATTTGCCTCTTGCAATTTAATTCATGAAATTTTAACCTATTAAATATTGGTCTTTATATTTTAAAAATAAAATTATAAAGATTAAAAATATTTTAAACTTTATCACTAACATCTTAAATTACTAAACCCTTTTAATATTTATAAATATTATAAATTTTAAAATTTTTAAAATTTTTAAAAATTATTTTTTAAAATATAGGAACTAATATTTAAGATGTTGAAATTTTAGGAGCTAAATTGTAAGAAATAAAATTTAAGAATTAATTTACAATTGAGTCAAAACTTCAAAGACTGAGTTATAACAAGTCAATAATTAGGGACTGAATTATAATTGAACTAAAATTATAAGAATTAAATGATTAATTTTTTTTTATTTTTTATGTTTATCTTTCAATTATGTATATGAAAAAACAAAGTAAGAGTCACAGGCTTGTTTCTGAATTCTGATAGAGCCAACTTGGCCTTTGGATGCACCATGTTGTCTCTTTTGATATACTAGCAACAACAATAGAAATTTTCAATAAATTTAATTCAAGACCAGGTATTTCAATTATATTTTAACAAATAAAAAAATCCAAATAATAACTCTTAAATTCAATTAAATTGAACTTATGGCCATTTGTTTACCCTTAAAAAAATAAGTAATTTTTAAATAATCTAAAAATTATTATAAAACATAAGATAAAGAGGCGTGATGAACATATAATCAAGCTAAATGATGATTATAAAGCTTATATTTTTCATATTGTTATAATTTATACATTCAAACACACATATTCTTAAGTAGATTGAATATATCACATCATTTATGATTTATTCAATTGAGCTTTTACTCTTTTCATTTAAAAATATGAGGCATTTTTAATTGAATCTCACCCCTAATAAAGTAATTACTTACTTTTCAACTAACCCTATATTTCTATATTTATCCTTATTAAATACTTTATAATATATATAAAATCATTATCAATAAGGACACCTTAAAAAAAGCAATAATTACATCTTAAAAGACTAAAAATGCCTTACATTTTTAAACATTCAACTCTTCAACAAATGCCTTACATTTTTTAACGGAGTAAGTATAATAATAAACATAAATTATTATATTAAAAATTTTATTCATAAATTTTTGAAGTGTGTGTTTGAATATTATTTCAACTAATTTATATATTTAATTTTCTTAAAAATTACTTAAGAAATATGCTTACATAATAAAATGTTTTAAATATAAATGAAAATTAAAAATATATTATTTTTTGGATAATTTGAATGATTTTTAAAAATATACATTTAAAAAAGGATATTTTAATTAAATACATATGACTTAATGATGAACTAATGGTTGAGTATATGTAAATAAAATATTAAAAATGGAGGAAACTTTTATATTTCATAACTATTCATATTAGAGAAGATTCATATAGGTTTAAAAAAATATAAAGGAAGTATCTACAATTAAGATAAAATAAAGGAGAAGTTGAAGTATTTTACTTTAAATTATATTGTGTTTGGTTATAATAAAAATATTATTATTATCTAGTGATTTTTGGATTTTTTTAAAATAAAATGAATTAATTAAAAAAAACAGAAATACAGCAAAGATACTAGGAGATACAAAGCATTCAACTACTTTAACAGAAATGTAAATAATTGATTTTCGGATATTTTTTGTGGTTGTATTCATGTATCTTAATTTATAAAAAATACTCTCTCCATTTAAAAATATAAAGTATTTTTTGAAGGGTTAGATATTAAAAAATATAAAATATTTTTAGTCTTTTAAAATGTAATTATTATTTTTTTAAAAGTGCCCCTATTAATAATAAATTTATATTTATTATAGGGTATCTAATAAGGATAAATATAAAAAGATAAGGTTAGTTTAAAAGTAAATAACTACTTTATTGAGATAAAATTTAATTAAAAATATTTTATATTTTTTAACAGAGGGAGTAATTATTATTTAGTTATTTTCAAATTTTATTATATTTCTGTATATCTCTATAATTTTATAACATTCATTTGTATCAACTGCAAAATTTGAGCAAAAAGTGCCCTTAATAATCGTTTTTCATTTTCCTAGGGGTGAGAATTTTCATCATAATTCCAAGTAAGTGTATGGGAAAAATAGTAACCAGAAATATATTTTAGATCATTAAAAATATTAATGTAAATTTATTTTTATTTGAAAACTTATTTAAAAATATAGAAAATTATTGTTTTTCTTTTAGTTTTGTTAAATTAAAATATTTTGCATCCCGTATACTCCCTTTGTTTAAAAATATAAGAGTTTTTTTAAACGATTGAATGTCTAAAAATATAAAATATTTTTAATATTTTAAGTCATAATCATTAATTTTTTTCAAAAGTGCCCTCTTATAAATAAATTATTTTTTATTTTAGAGTAAAACACTAATTAAATAGAGATAAATATAAAAAAATAATATTAGTTTGAGGACAACTAGACAAGTAAGTATTTTATTAGAAGGTAAAATTTGATTAAAATGGCTAATATGTAATTCAAACTTTGTGTTATAAGTTCAAGAGTGATTTAAACTTTAAATTTTTAAAAGATATATTTTAAATTTTAAACAATTAAAATTGAGGTAATATTTCCTCCACTGTTAAATTCAAACAAATATCTATTAAAATAAAGTATAATATGCAATTTTTACTAAATTCTACTCTCCTTTTGGTGAAATATATTAAATGTTTGTTGAAATTTAACAATAAAAAAAATTATTTCAACTTTAATTGATAGAATATGCCTTTTAAAAGTTTAAGGTTTAAATTATATATTAATTATTTTAAAAAATAACTTATATATTTTAACAAAAGGAATATCACATGGATGCAATTCTAATGGATTAAAAAGTATTAAGATATTGCCTATTATACTGTTAGAAAAACAATAATCTAGCCATTTTAACTTATGATATATTCTCTCTGTTTTAAAATATAAAATATTTTTTGAGGAGTTGCATGTTAGTTTTCCAAGATATAATTATTATCTTTTTTTTTAAAGTGCCCTCATTAATAATGACTTTATATTTATAATTTACTGTAGAGTATTTAATAGAAATAAATATAAAATGATAAAGTTAGTTGAAAAGTAAGTAACTATTTTATTGAGGATAAAATTCAATTACAAATGCCTTATATTTTTAAATGGAGGGAGTAATATAATGTAACTATATTTAACTAAATATACAGGTTATAAATATTTCACCTCACCTTTTTTTTGGTTGAAATTTCAAATTTCACCCCATTTTTATTAAATCATAATTTATTATCTATATTAAATTTTAATTTCTAAATATACAATTTTATATGCTTTTAAAATTTTAAATATTGATCTGAATCTGATTATATTTTTAATAAAAACTTCAAAAAAAGAAAATAAAAAAGCCGAGGAATAAGATAAAACCTTAAAATAAGGATCTGCGGGACCCACAAGAGGTGAATTATTTTTGAGCGCTAAAATCAGAGACAACTGACAAGTCACCGGTAACTAGAGAGAGAAAGATAGAATCGTCATTTTCTCAGTCTTAATTGTGAGGCCCTGCATCCGCTCGATAGATTATATAAATACCCACACAGCTCGTGATCTCACAGCTTCTTCTTCCTCTGGGATACGCAAATCTCGCTCTGTTTATCCCATTGATCTGAAGAAGAAGACTACGAGGACCAATATCCTCTCGTCTTCCTTCTACTCTGCTTCCTGAGATCTCCGGCGAACGAACTCGTCGGCGATGGCGGCTGAAAAGGCGGCGATCAGCCTCGAAGAGATTAAAAACGAGGCCGTTGATCTGGTACGTCGCTCTAAATCCCTTCGTCTGGCTCCATACCAAACTCTGTTTCTGCTCTGTTTCTGTTTTCTCACCGTTTATAAATCTTCGATGGGTGATCACAAGTTTTTCCTGTGACTTTATTTGGATTATTGGTCTACCAAAACTCCGATTCAGGTTAACCTGAGATATTTTTCTCTATCGAAATAATCGCATTAAAAATATCTAAGAACCTTTCTATATGTGAGTGCTTAGAGAGATTAAATCGGAACGAGACTGACTTTGGATACATCAGTCGAAGTTGTTTGCTATTTGGTGATTTTCTTTCATTTTCTTGGCGACCAAACGGGAAGTTTTTTCATGGGATCTGAGGGCGAACCATGTGAGAGACAGATAAGAGACGGAGTGGAATACGCTTTCGGTTTTCACAAACATTAAAAAAATAAAAATAAAAAAGCATTTAATTAATCAAACTCATCTGTCCTTCTCTCTGTTTCCGCCTTGTTTGGCGGGAGGGAGTTTAAAGTACTTTCCGTGGTACTTCATCCTTTTCATATTCGCCAAACTTTGTTTTTTTTTTTTTTCCTTTTTCTTGTTCAATAACCATTTTCATGGTATCTGTATCTCACAACAATTACAACTATTTTTTGCAATTTTTTTATAAGAATTTATATTATATATAAGGTATATACTGACAGAAAAATAATCAAATTTTTATGACTCCTCATAATAGTTAAGGTTCATTAGTGAAATATGCAAAATATATTTAAAATAATAAACATGTTATTGTATAATAATATCATATATTTGAAAGGTCAGTACCTCACCTCAACAGATTTTTTTAGGCAAAAAAAAACCTAAATAGATTTAATTTGAAATATTCTATCTATTTATTTGTAAATGATTCTAAAAATAAATAATTATTTTAAAATTTATTTTATTTTATTAAATAAAGAGTCTGAAAATTTACAAACCAAAAGTGTGCCAGCTTTTGGAAGCTCCACAGATGGGGGCAGAGAGAGAGAGAGAGGGATAGGGTTCGTTAGAGAGAGAGAGAGAGAGAGAGAGAGAGAGAGCCAATCACATGGAGCGTTTAGTTGGCAACTCGGCATCTCTTAAGGTCGCAATCTGATGTCCCCTTTGCCTCCTGTCACGATGCGCCGGTCAACACGTTTGGCCTTCTTCATTGGCTGCCCTTCTTAGCTGTGTGAGGATTCTGCCACGTGGCTCTTTTTGTCTCCCCTTCCAAACTCAAACTTCTTCCATTTCCATATTATCCTTGACTTTTGGAGCATTTTTTAAGTTATTATCTTAGTATGATATTCAAATTATCTTACTTAAATTTGTAATATTTAAATAAAAAAATTAAAATTATATTTTAGGATCGATCTGTTTCAACATTAACATTAAAAGTTATCTATATTTCATATACTATCCTAATTGTCTTTATCATCTAATGATTTTTTTTTAAAAAAATTATTTTCTATTTAAGAATTAGAAAAATCATATTTATGCCATATTTAAGTAAATTAATTTTTAAAATTAATTATAGGTTCTTTTAAATAATTGATAATTAATTTATATTTTGTCAAAGAAATTGATTTATATTTTTTTGATGAAATGATTTATATTTTTATTACTAACAAAAATCATTCGTATTGAATATTTAAATTTAAATTTAAATTATATTAAATATAGATTATTCATAAACTAATAATAATAATAATAATAATGCTACTATTTATTTATTTATTAGATGCAATGCTTTTTTTAGCCTACTTTTCATACTTACAACAACCTTTGAAACTTATATTTTTGTATTGTTATAATAATCAACAAAAATTTAAAATTACATTAACCAATTCAAGAATATAGGAATATCTATCAATAAATCGCCATTCTAAAAAGATTAGTTTTTTTAAAATAAAGATTTTTTTTTTGAAGCATCATAAAATTAGAATTAAGCTAAATGGCCTATACATACATACATACATACATACATACATACATACATACATACATACATACATACATACATACATACATACATATATATATATATATATATATATATATAAGCAGAAGTTTGTTTGTGGCGGAGCCAAGTGATTACCTTCGAATGGCTACCTCGTTGCGTCTGATTGAGGCAAGGAGCGCAAGGTGGGATGAACCATGCCATCTATTTAAGATCAGATATTTTAACAAATAAAAATCTCCAAATGGTAACCTTTGATTTCAACTTAAGTTGAACTTATGGCTTCTTCGTTTACATTTTTAAACGATTTAGAGATTTTGTGAAAAATGATTTATTTTATCTAAACTTCATAAAAAGTAGAAATTATTTTTTTGCAATAGTAAATTAGTATTTAGTAACTTTTTATTTTTATAATGTCCATCTAGGTTTGCCGATAAAAAATGATTTATTTTATCTAACAATGTTTTGATCATTAAGAACTTTGGTCAATATCTGGAAATAAAAATTCATTTAATTTTTAAAATTTTCCTCTCTAAAATATAGATATAACTTATTCAAAATTAAGTAGGTCATGTATCCAAAAAAAAAAAATAAGCAGGTCTTAAATTCCACGTGTCATGTCCACCCCTTTTTATGTTTATTTTCCTTTTTTTTTATAAAATCTTTACTTGTCAATTATGTCCCATTTAACAATATTGTTCACTGGTTATTATTTTTTATTAATTTTTTTTTCATTGGTTATTGCATTATTGCCTAGGTTTGGTCTTAAAAAATAATAATAAATCTTTATATTGAGAGGTTGCAATTTGTACGGGTTTGAAATAAAGGTCCCCCCACTTAAAAGGCGTGGAACTAACACGACTTTCTTCATGACGGGGTTTCGAACACATTCTTTGACTTCTTTGCTGAGGAGAATATAAAGTCAAGCATTCATTTTTTCATAATAAAAAAATATTTTTTATAATTTTATTTATGAATCACTTTTAATATATTTTATTATAATTAAAAAGAATTTTAAATTTTATCAACTTTATTTTATAATTTAATAAGTTTTTATCTTTATCCTCGATAAATATTCTTACATTTTGTTACTGGTATTTTTATTTAAAATATTTAATAAAGATAAAAATGTAAATAAATATATTGAGAATTGGCAAATGCTTTATAAATAAGATTAAATTTTTTCTTCTCTTTCTGCCGTATAAATAAGATAAAAAGAGTATTACTTAATTCTTATGGAATTATTATGGCTGTCAGCAACGCGTATTCAATCTTTTGTTTTCCCCTTCAAGATTATCATCAATTTAAAATATAAAAAATAATAAATCATATTATAATGCAAGTTGTGATGATAAAAATAATTTTCTAGCGTCTATGCATTGTACAGTAAAAACATAAATTTGATATGTAACTCAACCCTCCAGCAATACTTTTTAATTAAGGGGTTTATATACTTTGTTCCTTGGACCGTATCAATATAGTTATTGTGTCAACTCGGAATGTGAGAGAATGTCTGCGGGAATTCATATTTTCTAATATTCGTTGTTTGCAGGAACGTATTCCAATTGATGAAGTGTTTGAGCAATTGAAATGCACCAAGGAAGGACTGTCCTCGCAGGAAGGAGCCAATCGGCTTCAAATATTTGGACCCAACAAGCTCGAGGAGAAAAAGGTTGATTGGTTGCTTCGTTCTTCTTCTTCTTTTTCAGAATGCTATTTTCTGAATGTATGTTACTGATTTGTGTTAGTGGTAATGAACTCAGGAAAGCAAACTACTCAAGTTCCTCGGGTTTATGTGGAATCCCCTATCATGGGTCATGGAAGCTGCAGCTATAATGGCAATTGCGCTTGCAAATGGTGATGGGAGGCCACCGGATTGGCAAGACTTTGTGGGTATTATTGCATTGTTGTTGATCAATTCCACCATCAGTTTTATTGAAGAAAACAACGCTGGAAATGCTGCTGCGGCTCTCATGGCAGGCCTTGCTCCTAAAACAAAGGTAATAAGATTAAATTTGTGTTATTCAACTGTTTGAAGAATTGCCAAGATGGAGCCCAATTTTTTGATCACTCGTGACATTTGTGTGCTTTCAGGTTCTCAGAGATGGTAAGTGGTGCGAGGAAGAGGCTGCAATTCTAGTACCGGGGGATATCATAAGCGTCAAGCTAGGTGATATCATTCCTGCAGATGCTCGTCTTCTTGAGGGTGATCCTTTGAAGGTAGATCAATCTGCTCTTACTGGTGAATCCCTCCCTGTCACCAAAAATCCTGGGGATGAAGTTTTCTCAGGATCTACTTGTAAACAAGGTGAAATTGAGGCTGTTGTTATAGCAACTGGGGTCCACACATTCTTTGGGAAGGCAGCTCACCTTGTGGACAGCACCAATCAAGTTGGACACTTCCAGAAGGTTCTCACAGCAATTGGGAACTTTTGCATTTGTTCTATCGCAGTTGGTATGGTAGCTGAGCTCATTGTGATGTACCCAATTCAGCATCGCAAGTACAGGGATGGAATTGACAACCTATTGGTCCTCTTGATCGGAGGAATCCCCATTGCCATGCCTACTGTGTTGTCCGTCACAATGGCCATTGGTTCTCACAAGCTCTCACAGCAAGGTGCTATCACCAAGCGCATGACTGCCATTGAGGAGATGGCTGGTATGGATGTTTTATGCAGTGACAAGACAGGGACGCTCACTCTTAACAAGCTTAGTGTTGACAAGAACTTGGTTGAGGTCTTTGCAAAAGGTGTGGAAAAAGATCATGTTCTCCTCCTTGCTGCGAGGGCTTCTAGAATTGAAAATCAAGATGCCATAGATGCAGCCATGGTTGGAATGCTTGCTGATCCAAAAGAGGTTTGATTTTTTCCTACAATTGTCATTTCTGTTGTTAAAGTCATTCTTTGGAGACTGTTAATTTGAATTGTGTGTATTGAGCATGTCTTTTTCCTGTGTAGGCACGAGCTGGAATTAGAGAAGTCCACTTCTTACCATTCAATCCTGTGGACAAGAGAACTGCTTTGACTTACATTGATTCTGATGGAAAGTGGCACAGGGCAAGCAAAGGTGCTCCTGAGCAGGTAACCTTCTCGTTCAGTTTGTTCATGATTTGTGAGGTTTTTAGTTTCTCATATTGATCTTTAATATATTTGTTTTTGTCTCTACAGATCATGGACTTGTGTAACCTCAGGGAAGATGCAAAAAAGAGGGTCCATGCTATCATTGACAAGTTTGCAGAAAGAGGGCTTCGTTCACTTGCCGTTGCCAGACAGGTTTATAATGTTTCTTTTCATCTACAACTTTTACTAAACCACTTGCAGGCCAGGGTTATATAGCCAGTCTTCATCTCTTGCAGGAAGTGCCTGAGAGAACCAAAGAAAGTCCTGGTGGTCCATGGCAGTTTGTTGGCTTGTTGCCACTATTTGATCCCCCAAGACATGACAGTGCTGAGACCATCCGAAGAGCTCTTAATCTTGGAGTAAATGTCAAAATGATTACTGGTAACTAAGAACTCTCATTATTCAGGAAGAAATATTTTCTACTGTACAATAGCATTTGTTGTTGAACTTCTTTAATTTTAACATACGGGCCTATGCTCTCCCTAGGTGATCAACTTGCCATAGCCAAGGAGACTGGTAGGAGGCTTGGGATGGGAACAAATATGTATCCATCTGCTTCCTTGCTCGGTCAAGACAAAGATGCAAATATGAGTGCACTTCCTGTAGAAGAGCTGATTGAGAAGGCTGATGGATTTGCCGGAGTATTTCCTGGTGTGCAATCGCTACCATCTCATTACTGCAAATAAAATCTATCCTTTCTTTTATTTTCTTTCATTTGGTCTTGCTTTCGACTCTGACTTTGTCAATTATAACTCTCCCTCCCTCCCTCCCTCTCTCTCTCTCACAAATGTTTAAATGTACAATCCCTCAGAGCACAAATATGAAATTGTGAAGAAGTTGCAAGAAAGGAAGCACATTTGTGGAATGACTGGTGATGGTGTCAATGATGCACCTGCTTTGAAGAAGGCTGATATTGGAATTGCTGTTGCCGATGCTACTGATGCTGCAAGAAGTGCTTCTGACATTGTCTTAACAGAACCTGGATTGAGTGTTATTATCAGTGCTGTCTTAACAAGCAGAGCTATTTTCCAAAGAATGAAAAACTACACTGTTAGTCATTCTCCACTCTTCCTTAATACGATGTCTTTGCTTGAAATGATCTCAAGTCACATTATGTTTTTTGTATCGCAGATCTATGCAGTTTCTATCACTATCCGTATAGTGGTAAGTAGATGCCATGTTTATGAAAATTCGTGTGATTCATTACGACAGGGAATTGTGAATATTAGCTAATTTGATTCTCTTTCATTCTAAATTCACAGTTTGGCTTCATGTTTATTGCACTGATTTGGAAATTCGACTTCTCTCCATTCATGGTTTTGATTATAGCCATTCTTAATGATGGTAAGATTTCTAACAAATACCTATCAAAATTCTTAATTCTCTATTAATCTTATAATGGAGATTTGACCCACTGATTTATGCTATAAGGAACAATCATGACTATTTCAAAGGACAGAGTGAAGCCGTCTCCCACGCCTGATAGCTGGAAACTCAGAGAAATATTTGCTACTGGAATTGCTCTTGGAGGCTACTTGGCATTGATGACTGTCATATTCTTCTGGGCAATGAAAGAAACTACATTCTTCCCCGTAAAAACCCATTATAATTTGCCGTTACCTGTCAAACCTTCTTAGGCTCAAAGCTTTTGACACCTTCTGATTATTTTTTTAGGACAAATTTGGAGTCAGACACATTCATGATAGTCCTCATGAAATGACATCGGCTTTGTATCTTCAAGTCAGTATAGTGAGCCAGGCTTTAATCTTTGTGACCCGTTCTCGCAGCTGGTCCTATGCCGAACGCCCTGGATACCTGTTAGTAATTGCATTCATTATCGCTCAGCTGGTCAGTATAATGATCTTTTTAGTCCATTTAACTTTCAGATTTTGAGACGTGAGAATGAGTTATTTGATATGGTTTAAAATAGCCTGTTTATTTCTAGCAAAGCTGTGTTAACATCTTTTGAGGTTATATGTTGATGCAGATTGCAACAGTAATTGCAGTATATGCAAACTGGGGCTTTGCAAGAGTACATGGAATTGGTTGGGGTTGGGCTGGAGTTATCTGGCTCTATAGTGTTGTCTTCTATGTTCCACTTGACTTGATGAAGTTTGCTATCCGCTACATCTTAAGTGGCAAGGCTTGGGTAAATATGCTAGAAAACAAGGTATGTTTGAGCCTATTGATTTTACCTGTTCATAAACAAATCTCAAACTTGAACTGGTTTTGTTCTATGATCTGAAGTTTTTGTTTTCTGTCCTCAAACAATGTTTTTGAGAGAAATATTAAAACCAGAAGATTTATTTGTTCTTTAAAATTTATTTGCAGACTGCCTTCACTACCAAGAAAGACTACGGAAAGGAGGAGAGGGAAGCTCAATGGGCTCTTGCTCAGAGGACCCTCCATGGGCTTCAACCACCAGAAGCTTCTAGCAGTTTCAATGACAAGAACAGCTACAGAGAACTGTCTGAGATTGCTGAGCAGGCCAAGAGACGAGCTGAAGTTGCAAGGTAAGCAACCACACTTGCCTTAAGTTCTTGAGACCTTAATAGGAACTCACAAATCACAACAAAAATCACCAATTGAGTTTGATCCTGGTCTTCCAATTAGTTCATGTTTCCTTGTTATAGTCAATGTATAGTATCTCACTGGAACAGAGAAGTTGATATTTTGTATGTTCTTGCGCTTTCACTTGCAGGCTTCGTGAGCTACTCACACTTAAGGGACACGTTGAGTCAGTGGTGAAGCTGAAAGGTTTGGACATAGAAACAATTCAGCAACACTACACAGTGTGAGAAACAAGTAATAAATATTTTGTTTTTTGTTTTTAGCAGAATGGCCGCAAAAACAATATAATTTCTTGAAACAAGAGACTTAGAGAAGGCCTAGCTAGCTATTTTATGCCTTGTTTTTATAAGGGAGAGAAAATCTTGTGCCATAGTTCTCCTTTTTTTTTTAATTTTGTTTTATTTTTCTTTTTTTTTCCTCATGTATTTCTGAGCTCTGGGGAATAATATTGCCTTTGCCTACTCTTTATCTTATCTTTTTTTTTTTAATTATGCAAAGGGCCGGGGAAATAGTTTTGGATTCAATACTTGCTTTCTTCATTATTCTAAAATGGTTTTGGATGATGATTTCATGTAGTTTCTGTGTTTCTTTTCTTTGGTATTTGAGAATTTTAAAGCCGTAGAATAAAAATTTACGGAAGTTTCCTTAATATCATACGAACTTCAGAATCTTCACTTTTCTCCAATCTAGTTAGTGTTTGTTTCCTGAGGAAATGTGATTCTGCAAAATGCAACAGGATCAGAACAAGTTCTAAATTCTAAATGATGTTGTTGGATGTATCTTTAACTGAAATAACATATGACGATTCTGCTTACCACCTTGACAGACATTATCATTATTGCATATTCTTGCAAAAACACTCATTAGAGACAACTTTAATTATTAGTTGATAAGCTTGCTCTCTCCAATTCTATATATAAATCCCCTCCTACAAGAAATTGATGGTCATTTTTATAAATCACTTTGCAAAAAAGGATAGATTATTAATTGCTTTCTTCAAATTTTATCTTTTTGCAATTTTTTTCTATTTCAAACAATATCAATGATCTAATTATATTTTCACCAAAGTCCCAACTTACTTAAACTTTTCTTGGACCGGCATATTTTAACCAAAGTAGTTAAAAATGACTTACTTATGTTAAAAATGACTTATTTATAATTTTATATAAGATTGCTCAATGGAATATTCTCAAAATAGGGCCGTAAGATTTGTTAATATTCTAATTTGTCAACTGTTAATAGATCAATTATTTGAATCAGAATGCCTGCAATGACGTCAAACTCAAGTAGAGGAAAACATTTGAAAAAGAAAAAAACAATTAACCGAGAGCCTTATGATTGAACACATTGCAAACATGGTGCCTGCATCATGATTAGGGAGAGAATAAGAACAAAGGTGAATAAGTCATCAAGGTGAAAAATGAGGCAGTTGAATTTAATTAAATTTCGTGCAAATTAATCCAAATACTATTTCAGTTTATTATAAAAGAAATGCATGTACTTTTCAAACCAAAAATAAAATAAAATTCATGTGGCTATTTTTTTTAATTATTACTCCCTCCATTTAAAATGTAAGAAATTTTCAATTAAAACACACCAACCAAGACTGATAATCTAACATTCTTCCAATTTTACCTTCATTTAATACTAATGATTAATCATTGTTGTTGGCCCCAAAAAAAATTTCCAAGGGCAATTCTAATATTTTCACAGGGGCCTTTTAGTAAAAAGCATATCGATTGCTCTTTACAGACCATATGATGCCTTTTATACTGTAACTTCTGTAATTTTCTAAACTACACCTTATAATCATATTTGAGTTACTTTCAGTTAATTTATTTTTATTCAATATATTAGTAATCTGCTATGGTTAGCAACTTATTTTAACATAATACATTAAAAAGAATTATTTTACATGGTAACTCATCAAAATCTGGGAGTTACAGGGATAATTATATTGGCGATTTATTTTATACAAAGTACCACAAATATGAAAACCTTATGCTGAGATATTAATTGTTGGGGTCCCACTGAGAGCCATAGTTGTTGAACTGGATACATCAAATAAAGCGAATCATTAAAGAAAGATTTCTAAGTTAGGGTTTGGATGTTTTTTTCCCCAGTAAGATCAGACTCTACATGTGATATCATTGACGATTCATTTGTCCTCTCATCTTTGTTTCTTATTATTCAAATTTCAATGCCCCAACCCTATATATATAGGGTGTGCTTGACCTTAAAGTCTCATCAAATTATTAGCCAACACACACACACGGAGTCTTGTCGAATTATTGCAATAGAATGTATATTTGCAAATTCAATCAAAGACAGCTAGTGATACATGTAGAAGGAAAATGACTTGATGATAGAGTTTCATTATTAATATATCGTTTTCCGATAATAACTTCTGGAAAAAGTGTTCATTTCATTGGCACAATATTTCAAAAATGTTCTAACTTTATATGGATAAGTTTCACCCGAATTTCATCTATGACGATAAGATATGTAAAGATTCTATAGAAAATAGTACTGCATACTCTCTCTGGTATGAGACTATTGCTAAGTTTGAGGATACACAGCATTAAATATGAGATATAAAGCTATAAATAAATCAGATAACTTGATTAATTTCATTAAGTAAAAGTATCATTGGGAAAAAGTTTTAACTAATACTTTCTCCATTTAAAAATATAAAGCATTTTTTGAAGAGTCAGATGTTAAAAAATGTAAGATATTTTTAGTTTTTCGAAGTATAATTATTCTTTTTTAAAAAAAAGTGCTTCTATTGATAATAACTTTATATTTATTACAGGAATAAGGGTAAATATAAAAAATGATATTAGTTTAAAAATAGGTAACTACTTTATTAGGAGATGAGATTCAATTAAAAATGTCTTATATTTTTTAACGGAGGGAGTACATATTTGAATTTACCTACTTTTTTTTGATTGAGAAATTAGGTATTTGTTCACCAATGAGTGCTTAGATCAATTAGTAAGGAATAATTTTAATTTAATTAGTGATTTTTCAAGTCCGAACTCTAAAAATGCAACAATGTTAAAGCTCTATAGTAGAACCCGTTGTTCAAAAAGATTTGTCAATGCTCGATATGAATTAATCCGAGCTGCCATTAAGTGCTCTCAACTCAAGTGGGCAGATCCAAGATACCAAATTAATGCACAAACAATAAAAAAAAGTAGGTATTTGTTCCTTATAAAAAAAAAAAACAAGGCAGTAGTATTTTTAGTTCAAGTCATTATTTTCTAACTCGTTTGGCTGAAACACCTCTTATTAAAACCTGGAATTTATAAAACTATACAAGAAAAATAGGAAAAGACGTTAAAAGTAATTCAATTAAGGGAAAATTTTTAAAATTGAGCTTTCATACAAATTTAATTAGTTAAACTACCATTAACTAATTTTTTTGCTACTTTTGAAAGAAGTATTAATGATTTATATTTGAGTCCCCATATATAATATTTTCATGATGTGAATAGTGCGTTTTTTTTAATAAAAGAATATGAATGTGAATAGTGTAATTCAACCTCAAAATTTAGCATTTATATGGGCTTAAATCAATATTATATACTACCTTGGATTTTTTTTTTTGCAAGATCATTTTTCTGGGGTCTTATTGTAAGGTTATCTGCTAGTTGTCTAAATTTGTTTGTTTGTTTTAACGCCCTTTATTTTGATTTTTAAATAAAAATATGCAATGTCCTCTATTATTAAATAAATATCATTGACGCTAATTCTAAAAAATTAAAATAATTAATTAATTTTAAATTAATTTATTAATTTATAAAAAATTATCAACAATGACTTAAAAATGCCATACCTATTGTTGTCAGGGAAAAATTTTGCTGTAATAACATGTCGTGTAATAGTTTGCAATAAATGACCTTGCCTCCATTACTTTTTTTTTATCCATGGCTCTATATATTAATTTGTATAAGATCATGTTGACTATTTTATAGGATTAAGAAAATTAGTTAATCACTGAGGCTGGGTCTATAATCAAAGGTGATTAATCCTCTCATAATATGATGAATCGATATTTAAATTTTTATTTAGAGAAATACTTGAATTTAGTTCTTGATAATGCATTAAATATGACTATCTCCAATAAAAGAGACACATATGAACAATCAAAAAAAAAATTAATTAGTTAAATGTCAAGAACTTTTACAACTTAGTTATCAAGAATACTTTTTAACTGGCGTATCCAATTGGAGAGAGAGGATGAGAAGATCGTTATAAAGACGCAATTCATTTTTTTTAAATATATATATATATATATATATCATCATCATCATCATCATCATCATCATCATCATCATCATCATCATCATCATCATCATCATCAAATTTTATGAAGAATACTTTTATAAGTAGGATTAAAGACAAATAAATGGTATTGGTGTCCACAGCGTAAAGTGCCAATAAACATGGCCATGCCAGGAACCTAAAAAGGCTTAACTTCAACTATTAACGATCAAGTTTAGACGACAACAAATTTTATTCATCATTAGATCTTCTATGTAGTTTCCAAATGAATGTATCACAATATAGTTGTGTACAGTATATCATTCACATCTCTTAATTAGATTTATTAATTATCTCTAATCAAATACATTATATACATTTATTTTGTGAAGTTTAAAGATTCAAGCTATTTTAATTTTATTTAGCCACAACTATTCAGTCAAGCCACTGATACAAAGTTTGGATTTTATAGGGAATCTTCTACATCAATTAGAAGACAAACAATGTAAAAAATTCATGTGATAGTATTTTTGTAATATTTATACTTAATCATTAGATTTTTTATATCAATCATGGACATAATCAATATAAAAAATGAACTTTTTATATCAGTTAAAATTCATAATTAATTTAGAAAATATATTTTCTGCTTTGATTGAGCTACAAAATAAATATAAAAAGTGACATGTTTTTTTTTAAAAAAATTGATGTATTTTTCACATCAGTTTTAGCCCTATTGTCAAAAGTAAAATACCCCTAAAGCAATATCACGTAAAACAGTAGTAATTTTTTCTTTTTATATTATAGTGAGTTTTTTGTGTGAAGGACCTTTATTGAAAAGAATGTCCACAGCGAGGGACTTTTGATGATATCAAAAAAAATTCGAAAGCACATGATTGTGTGGGATCTAAGTGTGCATTTAATTTTTAATTTATTAAAAATTTATTTAATAAAATTCATTTGATAAAAGGTAATTATTGTAATAAAATTTATATTTAAATATATTTTTTAAAAAGTTAATTTGATACACTAAAAATTATTTGAATTATAATAGTAAAATATATTTTTAAATGTATAATTATCAAAAAGAACATTAATTTAAAAATATAAGCATTTTTGATATTTTAAGTTATAATCATTACATTTTTAATTATTTTAGATTGAAACACTCCATTATATAAGGATAAATATAAAA